AATGAAAAAATTCATGGATTGGGATGCCTGGGTGACTCAGTTGAGTGTATGCCTTTGGCTCAGGTGGTGATCCTGGGGTCCTGGGATCGAGCCCTGCATGGGGCTCTCTGTTCAGTGGGGAGCCTGCTTCTCCCCCTGCCTGCCGCTCCCCCTCCTTATGCTTTCTCTCTCTCTGACAAAATCTTTGAAAAAAAAAAATTCGTGGATCATTTTTTTTTTTAAGATTTTATTTATTTATTTGACAGAGAGAGATCACAAGTAGACAGAGAGGCAGGCAGAGAGAGAGAGAGAGAGGGAAGCAGACTCCCCGCCGAGCAGAGAGCCCGATGCGGGACTTGATCCCAGGACCCTGAGATCACGACCTGAGCCGAAGGCAGCGGCCTAACCCACTGAGCCACCCAGGTGCCCTCGTGGATCATTTTAAACAGCAATGTGACATGGTCAGATTGTTTCATTCTTTTCTTAATAAAAGTGTATTCTTTAAAACTACAGAAATGAGAAATGTTTATATTAGATGAATCTTTAGGGACTTTTTCTGTGAGTGATGATTTCATTATACTATTTCCGTAACTGGTACCCTGCACATCTCTTTCTGCATCCCAGCAGAAGAACCTTTCTCTCTCACTGGCTTTGACACACAGAAGGCTCTGTTAAGATTTGCTGCTATGAAATCCCAGGCATGCAGCAGGGTGCAGCCAACTTAGGCAAAGGCCGTGGTCTGTCCCCCGTGTGCCACCCTGAGAAACTGGAGCTTCACCACCCATCTGGGAGTATTTGCCAATTCCTACTGTCATGTCATTGCCACTATATATTTTTTTAATCTACTTTTAAAATTTTTTACCATGGGAAAATTCAAATATTAATGTATGGAAGAGTAGAGAGGATAGTATAATACACCCTCCTGTACCCATCACCCAATGTCAGCAATAAACAACTCATAATCGTCTCATTTATACTTGTCTCTCCCATACCATTGCATTGTTTTGAAGTAAATCCCAAATATCGTATCATTTCACATGTCTCTAAAAGTTAAGAACTTGTTTAAAAACATATCCACAATTATTACAACTAACAAAATAATTATTCTTTTTAAAAAAATATTTGGGGGCATAGGAGGGGCAGAGGGAGAGGAAGAGGGTCTCAGGCAGACTGCATGCTGAGCACAGAGCCCCTGGGGCTCCATCCCCCAACTCTGAGATCATTATTTGAGCTGAAATCAAGAGTCAGACACTTAAATGACTAAGCCATCCAGGTGCCCCCCCCATAATTATTTATTATCATCAAATTTACGGTGTTCAAATTCTAATTGTCTCTCTTTCTTTTAAGTTGGCTTATTGGAATCATCATCTGCATAAGGTCCACGTTTGTAATCAGTGGTGTTTCCTGAGTCTCTCTCAATCAACAGGTTCCTCTTTTCCTTTCTTCCTCCCTCCCCCCTTCCTTTCTCCCCTTCCTTCCTTCCTTCCTTCCTCTCTCTTTCTCTTTCTTTCCCTTTCTCTCTTTCTTTCACCTTGCTTGTTATTTATTTAACTTTAGGCTCTTAACAGAATGGAAAGTTGGAAAACAACACTTTAAAGGTGCCATGCTTCATGTCTACCTTCATTGTTTTTTCTTCTAGCCCTGACAATTTTTGAGGTAAAGAGTTGTATCCTATTATCACAAAACATTCTTTGAATTTGTGAAATATGTCTAATATTGCTTAGTTGTTTTTAGCCTGCCAGCTTTATCCAAGCATTGAATGTAGGTGATCTTACAGCCAACTGAATTCAAGAAAATATAATGTTAAATGTATTTTTGGAAAGGGAAGAAAATGTTATCTATTTTTAAAAAAGATTTTATTTATTTGAGAGAGAGAATGAGAGAGAGAGAGAGAGAGAGAGAGAGAAAGAGAGCATGAGAGCGGGAAGAGCAGAGGGAGAAGCAGACCCCCTGTCAATCCCTGAACTCCAGGATCATGACCTGAGCAGAAGGCAGTTGCTCAACCAACTGAGCCATCCTGGTGCCCCAGGGAAAATGTTATCTAAACAGAAAAACAGTAGAAGATATCACCAAGAAAAATATCAATAGAATTAAATATATGCTAAGTTAGAATTTTTTGGTCAACAAACACAACATAGAAAGATAAGGGGGGGGTGGAGGAGGGGGGATAGTTGCCATATATGACAGATAACAAGTTTGTAGCCTTAATACATGTGACCTGGTCTAGCCTGCCAATGGGTCCAGATGGGTCCACTCACAAGATTACCCAAAGTCCTGATTCTCTAGATCATCTTCTAGATTATCTGAAAGTTCTGTTTTTTCCCTCAGGATCTCCTGCTGCAATTACTCACTTGAGAAGCATTAAGGGTGAGGGTGAGATTTTTACATTCAGACCCTCTGTACTATCTGTTGGTCTCAACGTCCTTCTGTTCTGTGGACCCCTGGAGCTATGCTGCATCTCTGCTGAACTCATCCCTACCACCTCTTCTTCTCCATCGATTAGGAAAACACCCTCTATTTATGACTGATGATTTTCAAAGGGATTCCCACGGAAGAGCTCCTGAGCCCCTACCAACCTAGTTCTTTTGATTATGCCACAGTCCCTTGTCTCCCAGAATTTACAAGCACTCTTAGGATGAAGGCAGAGAAGTAAAAGGGCAAGTCAGAGGATGGTCAGGCCCCTGTGGTACCTATAACTTACACCCTGACTCCCAGCATCTGCTGCATGAATTATTTCCTGGCTACAAGTGGCAGAAGTTTATCTGACAGATTAAGCAGAGAAGGGCTTATTCAAGAATATTGGGTAGGGGCGCCTGGGTGGCTCAGTGGGTTAAAGCCTCTGCCTTCGGCTCGGGTCGTGATCCCAGGGTCCTGGGATCGAGCCCCACGTTGGGCTCTCTGCTCTGCAGGGAGCCTGCTTCCTCCTCTCTCTCTCTCTGCCTGCCTCTCTGCCTACTTGAGATCTTCATCTGTCAAATAAATAAATAAAATCTTAAAAAAAAAAAAAGAATATTGGGTAGCTTGTAGAATTGTGGTGAAGACTGGAGGAAACAATCTTGGGGTTATGCTTCCAAGAAAATCACCCAGAACTATGCAGCATACCTGGTCTAACTAGGAAACTGTAGCCGCTGGCCCATCACCAGTCAGTGACTACCAGCAGCCAGGAGCTCGTGTGACTGCCACCACCGCCGCCAAAGGCATCAAGCCTCTTCTCCATCAGGACCTCAACCTTAAAGACCAGCAGGCCTCCCAAGCACATGACTCTGCTGTCACCCACACCAGCAAGAGGAGTGCACTCTTCAGTCTTCTCCCCCTCCCACCCCTTTTTTCACAGGAGTCCCACACCAGTGCATCTGACTGGAGGAGCACAAGGCACATACCTATGTCCTTGCTGAGGAATGGGAGGAGAATGATGATTCTTCCTTTTGATTTGGCAGAACACAAAGGGGAAATCCTGCTAACATCAAGAGGGTATTCCAAAGGTGCTGGGTACTAAAGACCAGGACAAATGTCTACCAGAATGAATGACTTAGGCTAGGTATGACGGGGTGGTCTCTTTGAGATAGGGTGGTCTTACACCTACTGATTAAAATACGAACTGGGTAGGGGGCTCCTGGGTGGGTCAGTCAGTTAAATGTCTGACTCTTGATTTCCACTCAGGTCATGATCTCAGGGTTGTGAGATAGAGCCCCAGGTCGAGCTTTGTGCTGTGTTCGGAGCCTGCCTAAGATCCCCCTAAAAAAAGAACACTTGTACCATATTTGGACAAATTAAAAAAATAAAATCTAATTATGAAAAAATATTGATGGGGTTAAAATATTAAAAATATTAAAAATACAAAGTTATTCATGGAGGCATTATTTTTAATAAAAGATTAGAACTATTCAGGTGTCTAGTAATAGAAGTTTGATTGAATAAAACTCATGGTATATCCCTACATACATGGAAAATAATGCAACTGAAAATGAAGGTGGAGGAATGATCTCTAGAGAATGATCTCTAGAATATAAGTAAGTGAAAAAACAAAGTGGAGAATAATATATACAGCAGTTAATACACATAGTAGTTATCTTTTCTGTAAGAAAGTTTGGGGAGATTATTTATATATATATGTATCTATCTATATATATAGAGAGAGATATATCCATTTACAAATGGCTCTTCATAGAAATTACCATTTTTGCTGGTAAAATGGTTAATTATTGGCAATTTCATACAATTCAACATAATACAGAGTGGAGGAGACAAGGTTGGAAAAGAGATTCTGCAAATACAATTGTTATGTATTTTTTACACTGGAATCATATAAATGTGTTTTACACATTTAAAACATTAAATTTAGGGTGCCTGGGTGGCTCAGTTGGTTAACCAACCGCCTTCGGCTCACGTCATAATCCCAGAGTCCTGGGATTGAGTCCCACATCAGTCTCCCAGCTCCACGGAAAGCCTGCTTCTCCCTCTGACCTTCTCCCCTCTCCTGCTCTCTCTCACTGTCTCTCTCTCAAATAAATAAGTAAAATCTTTAAAACAAAACAAAACAAAAATATTAATTTAAAATGATGACAATTCCTACAATTTTAAAGCAAACTGAAAACAATGAACCTAACTGTATATCAAATTAATGATGTAGCTCCACAGAGAAGACAATTATTTCAAGTGATTTTAAGTGATATTACAGTATAATATATTTGTCCCATGTACATTGTGGTAAGTATTTTAAGGGCAAAGAAATCTAACACTTTATTCAATAGTTACATTGCTAGTAGAAGTTTTGTGTTAGTATTTTGAAACTATTTTTTATACAGTGTTGCATATAGTAATAAGTAATTACGTTAATGTTAGGAGCCAAGATTTTCAGTGTAAGAGAGAAGAAATGTGAAATCAAAGGCATTAATGTAAATATTAACATGAACTTTGAATCATAATAGTAGAAATAATAGTAGAAATATTAGAATTTGATATTAGAAATACGGTTTTTATTTTTTTCAAAAATATCTCCTGTTTCTGTACTTTTCAGAAGGGCCTAGAAGTATTAAAAACCCATGGGCAATGAGCAACCACTAGTGCCTAGATTGTGGTCCTTAAATGACATTTCCCATTTGAAGGAACCAGGTTTTCTTGGACGGCTGAGTCCAAGTCTGGGACAGTACCTGTACAAGATGAGGCTGGAACATCCTACTGAGCCAAAAGCTATGATGTGATCCAAGACAGGTAGGTTGCATCAATAGGACTCAAGAGCCCAATGATGGGGCTCCAACTGACCAAGAATGGGATAATTTATTGATTGAAATTCATAGAATATATAAAAGCCTACCAAGGAGAAGGAGGAGAAGGAAGAGGAGGAGGAGGAAGAGGAGGGGGAGGAAGAGGAGGGGGAGGAGGTGGGGGAGGAGGAGGCATACCAAAACAAATTAACAAACTCATTAGATGCCATTGGTGGTAACTAGGTCTCAATCTTACTCTGAAAAATGGCAATTTAAAATAAATGAGTAAACATTATGCTGCCCTTCCAATTCAATCTGCATTTCAGGGTGACCAAACAACTCTCCCGGGGCTATTGATGAGGAAGAGTTCTTCACAGAGATTTCCCAGCTAGTAACAGTCGAAGGAATGACAGAATTAGAAAAATCACCGTTTTACCATCCTGATGATATAACTGATTAGGCAGAAACCAGTAACAGATGAAAACATTAGATGAAAAAAGCTTACAGTTGCAGTGGCTGACATCACCTGAATCCACAGATCAGTATTCAGTAAGAGTGAGACAGCCAGACAACATGTGCTTTTTGAGGTGCTCCTTTAGGAAAAGAAGAACCTGAAGCCAAGAAAGCTTTTAGAACTAACCTACACTTCACATGAAATAAAGGAGGTAGTAGAGGCTCAGGTTTAAGTGAGACCACCAGGACGTAAATGGATAAATCCAGAATATGAGATATTCTCTAGCACCACTGAACTAGCGTAATCAACAAGTCTATGGCATGAAGAAGTAAGAGGTTGCGTGAAGTGAGGAGACTATTCTAAATTTTAAAACACTCAAAAGACTTAACTGTCAAATGCAATGCATGGATCTCATCTGGATCCTGATCCTAACAAACCAATGAAAATGAAGAGATTTCTTAGGTATCAGGGAACTATGAAAATGGTCTAAGAATTAGGAGTGCCTGGGTGCCTCAGTCGTGAAGTGTCTGCCTTCTGCTCAGATCATGATCCCAGAGTCCTGGGATAGAGCCCCACAGCAGGCTGCCTGCTCAGTGGGAAGACTTCTCCCTCTCCCACTCCCCCTGCTCGTGTTCTCTCTTTTGCTATGTCTCTCTCTGTCAAATAAATAAAGAAAATCTTTTAAAAATGGTCTGAGAATTAGGTAATATCAAGGAGCATTTACTGTAGCTAAGTATGGTCCTGGCAGCATGGTTATGTAAGAATATATTTGTATATCTTAAGAGATGCAAAATGAAATACCTAGAGACAAAATAACATGAGGTCTGGTATTTGCTTTACAATATTGCGCAGGAGAAGGAGAGGGATAGATGAGGGCGGTGTGCTCAAATCCTAACACTGCTGAATCTGGATAATGGGTACTTTTTATACTACTCTTTCTAATTTTGTTTTTTGTGTTTTTGGAAATTTTCCAGAGAAAAAAGAATCAATGGAGACAGGCAAAATAGAAATCAATCCAGCCCCGTTCTTGTAGATGGAAAGACAAGGAAAAAGTTATTGCAAAACAGACTGACTTGCTGTGCTTGTCCTTGTGCACTGGGCAGCGCCGGCCCATCTGACAGCGATCACACCTTGCATGAATGTGACCTCGGTGGAAGGAAGGGCTGCGGGTGGCTGTGACAGTTCTTTCTCACATCTCCTTTTTGCAAACACCTGAGGTGGCACCTCAGCAATGCTGAGCAGAGTACGGAGCAGTTTGCAATGTTCTTTTGCATCCAAAAAAAAAAAAAAAAAAAAAAAAGAATCACACTTGATATCTTTGCTGATTCACTGAGGAATAATTTTTGGTCCCATAAGTACATCTCAAGATTGAAGTGAAACTTGGAAGAACTTAACAAGTTGTTGATTCTGTACAGCTTACCCCTCATCCCCCCTCTTCTGACACTTCCTCTGTGCCTGTCCTGTTTGAGTAAAGGTGCTAGGTGAGGAAAGAAGAAATTTCCTTTTTTTAGATGAAGGATTGTAAAAATTAGGGATGCAATCACAGCCAAGTCTGTGACCACTCTCCATTCCAGAACCCGGGGCTGGCAGAAAGTATCAATGAATGGATCAGTTTTCTTTCCCACTGGACTCGGCTTCTTGCCACACCACTCCAGTAGCACCATATCGATAAAGTCATTCTTACTCAAAATGTCTTCAGACTGAATTGTAGAGTAAAGCATTTGCCTCGCTGCTTTTTAATTTCTACAGTAGAACAAGAAGAAAAACATCTTGAATAAGAAGCTCAAGGAATTTGGATTAGATTAAATTCAAGGAGGAACCTCATGTGAGGAAGCTGAAATCTGGAACAATCATGCTACTTAGAAAGATTATGATGATTCCCCTAAAATATCTATTAAAACTGGACTGATTCAGGGCGCCTGGGTGGCTCAGTGGGTTAAAGCCTCTGCCTTGGGACGCCTGGGTGGCTCAGTTGGTTAAGCAGCTGCCTTCGGCTCAGGTCATGATCCCAGCGTCCTGGGATCGAGTCCCACATCGGGCTCCTTGCTCATCGGGGAGCCTGCTTCTCCCTCTGCCTCTGCCTGCCATTCTGTCTGCCTGTGCTCGCTCTCTCTCCCCCTCTCTCTCTGACAAAAAAAAAAAAAAAATCTTTAAAAAAAAAAAAAAAAAGCCTCTGCCTTTGGCTCAGGTCATGATCCCAGGGTCCTGGGATCGAGCCCCACACCGGGCTCTCTGCTCAGTGGGGAGCCTGCTTCCCCTTCTTGATGTCTCTCTACCTGCTTGTGATCTCTCTCTCTCTCTCTCTGTCAGATAAATAAATAAAATATTAAAAAAAAAAAACTGGACTGATTCTTATTGTCTGGACTGGTCAAGAACTAGTGGTGCTGAAATCCATTTTTGGCCCATGTCAGGGCATCTAGCATTTTTGCCTGCCCAGCATCTCTTTCCCCTCCTCCTTGAAATAGAAAATTCTTTCCTTTGGAGAAATCTACGTTTGGGTAGGGCTGCTTTCCCTTCACCATTTGGTTTTAACTGTGCCTGGAGCAAGATTCAGTCTGGAGAACTTAAATATGAGCAACAGGGGTGCCTGGCTGGCTCAGTCAGTAGAGTATGGAACTCTTGATCTTGGGGTTGTAAGTTCAAGCCCCATGTTGGGTGTAGCTGTTACTTAAAAATAGAATCTTAAGAAGTAAATAAATATGAGCCATAGTAAATAGCCTTCCTCCCACCCCCCATCCCTGCCCCTTGTTTTGGATGGTTTTAATGTCATTTCCAGGGAAAGTCTTAATTAGCATGGCATATGAGATGCTTCAGCTCATTCCATTAACATGTATTAAGATGTTGCAGTCATTCTGACACCCTGGAGTTACAGAAAGGAAAGACAACCTTTGTTTCAAGGTGTTTGTAGTTAAAAAGACAGCTATGGTACAATAATAATGTAGTAGATGACCTAGCACTGTTTTAAACATGTTGCGTATACCAACTTATTTAATTCTTACAACAGCTCTTTGAGATAGGTCCTGTTACTTTTTTCATTTTTGAGATAGGAAAATGAGGTACAGAGAAGTTAAGGAAATTGCCCAAGTTTATCCAGTTCAGGAACAGAAGATCTGGGATTTAAACCAGGGTAGCCTAGCTTTTAGCCACTACATTCTAGAGCCTCATTATCCCTAAGGGTCAGTGCCGGAGCTATTTTGAGAATAGTCAGTACTTATGACTACCATTCATTAAATGCTTCCTATGTGCCCAGCCACATGCTAGGTGCATTTTGGCCTTAACATATGAAGTCTTTTGAAGGATTTGATGCAGCAAAGATTATTTATTGTATAGTTGAGGGAACTGAGGCTCAGAGAAGTTAAGTGACTTGCCCAGATCACACAGCTAAGTGGCAAAGTGTGAATTTGGTCCGTTCATCTCTACCTCCAAAGACTTTGCTCTTTCTGTCTTACTTCTCTCGAGGACCTTACCTTCCAGCTTTTCCACTAGAGGTGGAGAGTATCTAGGAGGCTTGTGACTGGCTGTCAGTGACTGAGAAAGGAAATCAATGCTGGGAGTCCTCTAACATCAGAGAGCACGCCATTTTGCTCCCAGCAATACTCTTGCAATTTGTGTATACCTTGCAACCTGACACTCCTGAGAATGTATCTGTGGTGGTAGGAGAGAGATTAAGAAGCTCATGGTAAGTGTTCTTTTGGGAGAATAAAAAGGATGTTATTTATTTGTTTTTGTGGCAGCCATTCAAATGTTGAAGGAGAAGGAACTTGCCTTTGTTTGGCTTCCTGCCCTCAGGCCAAACATGTGAATAAGGCTCTTGGATAAGGTAAGTGTCAGGTACCCCAGGATCAAGGGCCCCTTTAATTGGAAGACCAGGCAATAGAAGGCTGTATTCAGCTGGGAGATTTACTATGATCCGTAGCTGGTGTCTTTGTCTAGTAAACCTCCCCACCCCAGTGCAGGAGAAGTTCTCATGTACTTTCATGGAACCAACTCAGAGGATTAACTTCTGGAAAAGTTGTCAACTAAGGCACACCTGTGTACTTCTGCACTCAAACATTTGAGTGCTTACCAAGCTTTTTAGATAGATCAACACCATTTACAAGCAAGAGAAATATGGCACGAGGAAGCTAACTGCATCAACAGAGTTAGATCTGTTGATCAGGAATCAATGATGTTTATTAATGAACTCAATTTTTTCTAGGCACGCATGGTATAATTTAATAAAATGAAGTATAAGCCTGTGAAATATGAGTGTAAAAAGTTGAACTACCATTTCTATGGAAACTAAGTCAAATGCTTTGGAAAGACTTGAGAACCCTTTCTCCCCCCCACCCCCACCCCTCACCAAATTGCTATTGAATTAGGTGTGAGCAAGACCATGCTCTTTACTGTCTCTATAACTGCCTATTGCTGCTAATTAGGTCTTTCTCATCTTTCCCTCCCTCCAGTGCATCCTCCAGGATGACCTAAGAAGCCTTCTCTGGTAGCCTAATTGTATCAGTGGGCTACTCGTTAGTGGCAAGTTGCTTAACTTCTCTGAGCCTTAAGAGTCTGCATTGGTGAAATGATTATCCAACTTTGCAGGTCTGTCGTGGAGATTAAGTGGGATGAAGCTTGTCATGTTACCTGGCCCTAACAGGTACTCAACAAATGGAAATAATTGTGATGTGCTTGGTCCTATGCTGGGGCTATAGATGGTGGATGAGAGAGCCCCACCACAAGAAACTGCACTGTCTGCCTGCTTTGGGCTTCACTTGCCCTGTAATGAGCTGACTCAGGTCTTCACAAATGCAAATGGAAACTTTTCTAGATGCTTTTAGACCCTGACACCATTATGTCATCCAAATTCTGTTTGGATTTGAATAGGTCATCCTGAAGGCCCAGTGGGCATCTGCACAGAACCTTCCCAGATGGAACTTTCTTATACTTTGTCACAAAATGATTCATCCTGATCCCTAAAAGGGCCATTGGAATAGCTTCCAGAGAAATGTGTTTCAATTCCCAGAAGCCACATGGAGCAGGCTCTGGAATTTTGTTACAATGAGTTCAAGTCATGGCTCTACCATTTGCCAGACCTCAGAACAGTTATGTGATGACTCTTGAGTGTCAATTTCTTCATCATCAGAAGAGTGGGAGTAACATTTCTTATTTCATAAGAGGGCAATAAGAAGCAAATGAGGTGAAGTGTCAGGTGTCCCGCAGAGTGCTTGGCATATAGTCAAAACCTAATCCACGTTAGTTTCCTAGTAGGTAAGTGTGAGTAGGTAGGAACGTAGTGGGCACACATCTAACATGTGAACTAAGGAAGTGCAAACAGGTGTTCTTCAATACTTTCTTTGTGCCATTGTCACAAAGACCCTAGTCTGGACAGCCTACTGGTCTGACCTTGCACGTGGTCTCTTCCTAGTTTACCAGTAGACATGACTAATAATTAAATTCTTATTCTATTACTTAGCTTTCAGGGCTGTCTTGAGTGAGGTAATCAGCCTCTGGGAGCCTCAGTTTCTTTCTTTATAGCATGCAGATACAAGTGCCTACCTTGCAGCAGTGATGAAAGGAACAGAACTAAAGACATGCACTTGGGGCAGTGTGGACACTCACAGGTGCCCAAGGAAATAGCAATAGCAGACATAGCAGGAGTCCCTCTTTCTGAGCTAGAAGTGGTCCAATTGATCTAAAAAGTTGACTCAGGCAGGAATTCTCAAAAAGCAAAATCCCTCCCCATGCCATACAGTACCACTAAGATCGTCAAACCTGTTCATATCATCTCTCACGGTAGCTCCCATCCCCACTCCTGGGCTTTATGGTCGACATGAGTCACCCACCTCCCAATGCTATAAACACTGCTCCAGACAGAAAGTTTGGTCTGCAGCCTTGCAGGTTTTCCTGCTCACAAAGACCACATCCATAGCCACAGGCTGAAGTCAAAGGAGAAGAGGGCGGGGGCGGCACTCGCTGTAACCACAGAAGAGGAAGATGTGGGGAGGATGGGGGGAGATGGGGAGAAATGGCTGGGGAGAACTGGAAGGAGGAGGAACCGTGAGGTGGGAGCTGATGTGGGGACCAGCTGTCCCTCGTGCTGACACCTGGAGTACACTAGCCACCAACTGCAGAATCGGGGTGGCCCCTGAGCATCTGGTTTGGAGTGAGTGCCTTTTCTTTGGAGGCCTTGGCAAGATCTCTTTCCCCATCTGCCCCTTCACATGTTGGCAACATTGACTGCCATAAGCCCCAGAAAATAGGGTGAAGGGATGTGGCATCCTGGAGGGAAACTGTTGTCCCCTTGTCAGTGAGACAAGCAGA